ATTCCAAATTAACATGATAATTAAAATACTGAAAAAAGAAACATTTTGATTTCTTATTTGTATTAATATGGATTGTTGACTCTTCCAATAAACAATATCAGTCCTGTATCTTTATCTTTAATCACAAATACAAATGGATGATTTGCATTAAATATAGCTGGCTGTGATAGGATCGCAGAGCGCATGTTAATTAAGATGGCAGAAGCAGCAGCTGCCTTGGTGCCTTCCTCTGTCACCTCAATGAATGTTTTATGCAATGCATCAGATACATATAACTCTTTATCAGTAGACATTCCACTTAAATCTGCCTTTTTCTCATCAAATAAATCCATTACTCCTAGTTTTTGTAATGCTGCTTTTACACTAAAACTAGACTGTAATTTAAATCTTGGGAGAGTGACTTTAACAGTAGTGTTGTTGAGGTTAGAATACCAGTTGTTGAGAATCTTGGAGGTAATCATTGGTTCTAAAGATAACAAACCATCCAGTTCATCGGGTAGAATGATGAGCATACTGAGATTACTTCTGCCATATGGCAACTCTAAAATTTGACATTTCAACGATTTATCGTGGTAATAATTCAGTTTCCTTTCACAGTTCATCATAGGAACTTTGATTGATGTCTTTCTTCCATCCAGGAGAAAAAAACCATCAGCAGTTGCTTTGACATCAAATGGATGGACCCATTTACCTTGGAAGTAAACTGCATTGACGATAACAAGTTTTGTCAATTCATTAACTGCTCCTTTTGCGATAAGATCTTTTATCTTATTATTAGTTTGCAACTCTACCCAATTGTTTATTTCTTTTCTGGCTTCTTCTGTGTTGCCAAGAAATGCTGCTCCATAGTAAGCTTCACTTGATGAAAGAAATTCAGACAAAAAATGGTAGCTATAATCACCAAAAAGTCTGTTGACAGTTTGCAACACATAGGCATCATCTTTGTTGAAATGATCTGAATTTAAAATATGGAATGCTGAATGAACGTGTTCAGAGCCGATTTGATGATACTTCAAAGTTCCCTCAATCTGAGTCGCACTCTCACCCTTTGTACCAAGATACGTCATGGCAAGCGCACTAGATAAACTAAATGGAGAAAATATAACATTCTTTCCCTCATATTGATTCGATAATAGTTTATACAAAGCAAAAGAGAATTCTTCCACAGACTCGGCAACAAGACTTAATGATGGAAGCTGTCGTGGATTTTCTCTGGAAATACCTGATGTGTTCTCTGGATTGGTATTACTGTGAATGACTTTACTGCTTCTTGGTAAGAAGAAATATATAAGAGCTGCAGCTATTACTACAGCAAGAAATAATCTTCCTTTATGAATTCTTCTTCTAATTCGGAATTTCTTACCGGCTTTAGTGTAAATATCACTACCAGAAAATAAGGGTAATTGAAACTCACTTCTTTTCTGCCCACGCTGCATTTTCTGAAGGAAATTAGAAGAATCAATTATTATTTAATTTCACAGTATATTTATAATTAACAATGACTATCACACAAGATAACAGTGAAATAACCATCAAGTGCCTATCACTTTTGCATGGAAATTAGAGTGTCACACAACCTCTTGATCAGGTACAATCTGGTTACACTATGTTGTAAAATTGTCTAAAACAAGTATT